ATGCAATTTCAAGGCCATTTCACGAGTGTGTTGCCTTTGGTTAGACTCAACAAGCGTCTTCAGAACATCAATTCCAACATGTCGGCCCCTACCATCACAGTTTTTAAAGCTAAAGTCACCTGAACGAAATTTGCTGAACCATCGTTGGCACTTACGAACGTTCAAAAACATTTCTATAAACTTCTTTGATATTCTTTGTGGCTACAGAGGCGTTATTTCCCTTCGTGTATTCAAACAGCATTACATGCCGAATGTGTGTCTCGTCGTGTGCCATCACTATAAGGGATTATAGTATACCAAACTTTACACATTATATAGGCTACACTAACGTAACATTTAGGCGGTTCGTTTAACTATTATACGTAATGTACGTTTTTTTGGGGATTGGTTAATGAAAGTGTTCCAAAACGCGACATTAATTTCTTGACGACCTAATGTTTATTTAATGCAATTGTATGAAGTCTTACACAAGTGTCGTCCTAATCTTAACACCCTTTTTAGGTATCTTGTATTTATTATTGCATAAAAGATTCAGGTACATTTCATCTCAGGACGAGTTAAATGCAAAATATATAAAATACTTAAATATTTCTTCTTTTCTTTATGGTGAAATTATTTTGAAAGGAGAAAGTACTAAAAATACTCTTGTATTTATACTAACTGCAGAATTATATTTTATGATAATGTTTTCACCCATTTTTCTTAGTCTGAATGACAACAGGTTTCTTGTCAATTTTAACAAACAATGGTTCAACAGTAATCTTAGATCGATGTTTGATCTCGGCTGTGAACAAATAGGCCTATCGTGTAGCTTTGTGCTTAACATCAAACAAGCAAATTTTGAAAACGAAATTTATTAGAAATGCACAATGCTGAAAATCATAACCATGCTTATAACTTCCTCTCTGACTAGTAAAAACGACTGTTTATTTGTTTGGGTATTTGCTGGTTTAAGACGACTAAAACTATTTCCATAAAACAAATTATACAAAACTTGTACGATAAATTAAAACATAGAATCTGTTCAAAATTAGTACAATTATAAATTTGTAATAGCCAATAAAAGTAAATGGTACAAGCAACTGGTAAAAATTTAAATCATAGTGTAAAGGCCAATAGCTCTTTAAGAAGTAAACACACATACAAGTTGAATATTGTCATCATTATTGATGATAATGCCCAACCAAAAAGTGGCATAACTTAAATAAGCATTCTAAAACGCAGCCGCTGCTGAAGGTCTAAGCAGTAACAAGAAATCAAGATATAGGCAACAGTTGAGGGGTGTCACACTATTCACAGGTTGGCTGGTTATTTTTAAACAAAACATGGTGTTAAGTTGACACTTAATGAATTTTTATGATACTTAGAAAAAAACTTGCTATATAGTATTTCAAGATGTTTCTTTCGGTTTTATAATTTCAATATTGTTCAATGGTGGTCAAAAATTTGAATTTTAAGTATCCAATCAGTTTCAACTTCATTAATAGTGGATAACATATTTCTTTTGATAATTTGTTTTTGTTTTTTTTTTGTTGTGGTAAACATTACTTCCGTCTATAAATCATAAGAAGTTAGTACATATGCAAGTTAAACATTGTCAAACACTGACAAAAGTAAGGATTTGGGTCACATTTGAGTCTCCAGAATTGGCGTTGTCGCCTATGTACTATCTAAGCCTCATAAAGTTTAGGTGATCTTGTCATAAAAGTAAATTTACGCCTCTTTCAAATCAATATAATTCAACACGAAAACATTTTCAGGAACGAAGAGAACGACTAAAGAAGCTATAAACATTTTCCCAAATCTCTGGTTTGTTCCTAAGCCTTCTAAACTTCCCGTTCGATTCCATTGTTTGTTTATTTTTTCAACAGGAGTTAGGTCTTAACACTGTACCACAAAACTATAAATTGTTTCTGACACTAATTTATTCACTATATATTAATTTGAATAGTTTGTATTTCGTTCTAACCATTGCTATTTATAGTTTGCCTTTAGTTATTTTCAAAACTAAGTTTCATTAGTAGTTGTTCACATCACATGTTCTGTGGACATAAAAAAGTAGGAACGAGAGGTTATGCTAATAAAAAACTAGACAAAGGGAATACGACTACCCGAGAAATAAAACCTTCAGAATGATAGTTTCTTAGTAAATAGAAACCTATGCTTTAGGATAGGCAGAAATTGTGTTTTATATAAGTGTATTGTTTACAGGTGAAACTATCTGGAGTTCTGCAGAAATGTAAATTTGAACTTTTATCTTTTTTGGGTGAATTACACTAAATAAATTTTACAAAATGGCAAAATACGAATCCTAAAATATTTTTGTGTAAAACAAGTGTTGAAGTAGTGTTATAATTTTTATTTTTACTTAAACTGTGAAATGTGATAGGCAGCATACGCCAGCTAGTATGGAGCTACTCTTTCGTATAGCGCGTTAAACTCCGTGTATTGAGTGGATATTAAAATTCGTCTGATTTGAATGTGACATCAGCCAAATCACTTCTATGGATTTAGCCATGGCCATCAACAAAACTTGATAATAAATAAACAAAAGACAGTTTCGCTAGTTTCCTGAAAAGAAAAGATGTGATCAATCCAGGCCAGGAATGAGTCAAAGTAAACAATACATTAACTATTTCCTTCATGTGATCGAAAACAAGTGGGATTGCGTGTAAAACTGTAATGAAAATGAGATTCTCAGAAGGGATTCTGTGGGCAGTTACATACAGAGCTACAGCAAAATTTGTCAGAATGAACTGTTTTACGTGATTTGGAACCATCCATAAAAATAGGTTTGAAAGAAGAATAACTGTAATCTGACTTCTCAACATAACTCAAGGACAGGTCATTTCTTGGAATGGTAGCAAGAAATAAAAGGATAAGTTGACCATCAGACATAGCATAGCAGCTGCCTCAAATGATAGACCTTTAACTCACACAACATTTCCTGTATAAGAAGACTGAAATAAGGAATATTGGATCATCTATTTGCCAAAAGCATGGTTTAATGAGATATGAGAGCACAATGCTAAATGGGACCCTGGAATAGGAATCATAACTTTGCCGCATACGGTAAGTGTAACATGGAGATTTTATGGCTGCACCCATGTTATAACGTAGAAAATTCATTTACCCTTATTAATGTATATTCAAGAAAACATTTCAAAATCTCAGGGCAAATATTCTGTATTTAGTGTTCATTCTGAGTGAAAAGAATATGACTCACCTGAAATCAATTACCCACTGTTTTAGCTATTGTATAGTGTAGGAAGGCATAAGTAACTAAAGGCATTCATATCTTCACAACTGCTTTACACTTTAGTTATCTGACTTGTTTTGACAGCTTTCCCATATGACAGTCACATTTGTGAATACAACTACCAAACATTCATTTTTTGTTAATGGTGCTGGCTCGTAGTGTGTGTGACATGGCATTTTGGTAATGCTTATAGAGTTATAGAATGACGTGCGACATTATTATTCAAGAGGTTTTCTTTCTGATTATCTCTTGGCGATGTCTAAGTTCTGTCTGTCACATCTGACACTGTACTACAGAGAAGTAAGCTAAAATTGTAGAGCATTTGTAAATAACGATGTGACATACTAAAGTCGTCACATGCTATTTTGTTATCACTATAACGTTTTCGCGCTGCTTATCAATGAAATATTCTTTGTCTAAGGCCTGTTTTTTATCACGTTCAACTTAATCTCACTTTACATGGTTTTACTAAGAAACTCCATATCTGTTGATTTGAAATTGAAACTGTCACTAAGCATTTGTATTGTTCGTCTCTAATTTTCAGATGAACTTAGCTTATACCATATAAATCTGTATATTGTTGGAGAATGAAAGATAATTTCCAAGATAGTGAAGAAGTTGCGGTAAAGAGGAGGAAACAGCAAATGAGATGAGACTAAGCCCTGAGAGTGTGGTATGGTCTACAAAAAATATGCTCCTGGACTAAGGTCTTTAACTAGCACTGGAGCAAGGGAAATTGTAGTATCAAAAATCCTCCAGGCAGTAAAAATACTCAACTTCTCATGAGAATCTTGAGCTTGCAGTAGATATTGACCATTGAATTTGATGGTCATAGTGACCAACTGAGGTAGTATATATAGAACTCTGAGATCGTCACCAATCAGCAATACCAACCTATCATAATAGATGTATTTATCAGAGATTAGAAGTTGGTTAAAGATTCTGCTGGAGGATAAACTCCTTCAGGAAGAGTTGCATTACCATCAAGTGGAAGGTAGGCATCTTGCAATGACAATGATGATGATCCTTGTTAAAACTAGAATATTGCAAGGCCAGGAAGGTGGACTGCTTAATTCATCAAGAATCATCTCAAAGCCAGAGATTGCAGGGCTACAGTATGATGCAATCTTGGCTCCAACATGTAGTCTTGCTGGTTATAAGAGAACAAGGGCCACATTTATATGAGGACTGTTGCTTCCAGATACTAAGGATGATCAATACTTGTGACATCATCAGTATTCCAGATGTCTGAAACCAAAACTCAAGAGACAACATCAGAGTTCACCACCACAGCCAAATGATCATAACTGGTAGTAGATAGCTACACTGATATTCATGGATACTGATAATAAAAACCTGAACTGTTTTTGAAGCATTTAATGTAAGTAGGTGGATATAATGGCGTTACTCAGAGACTGGTGGTGCAATGCTTGATGCTGGGTCTAGATGGTGTAGCTCTCAATGCTATAAAGCATTAGGAGGAGGAGGAGCTTGATGATTGTGCTAAAGTAATAACTAATTACACTAATATTTCAAATAAAGAAGGGAGCGATCTACAGTAACAAGTTTAAGATTTGAAAGAGTGTTTATGAGGAGGACTTGGCCATATATATGGATGATATGCAATGCCTACATAGGAAGAAATATTTCAGTGTGATATTGGAAGACTTAGAGAAGATTTTCATTGAAAAATTCATTGAGACTGTAGGATGAGTACAAGCAAGTGGAATGTTATGATTGCCAGGAATGGTGCATCTTTGATTGTAATAATTTCTATAGTGGTAAGGTTCGCTGTAGTCATGTTGAAGAGGTTGCTGGAGAAAAATAAACCAGAAACACTGACTGTAGTTTCAAAATAGCAACATAACAACAAATTTGAGGTACCTTAATTTCAGCTCTGTCACCACAATCAATATCATGCGTAGTGGTGCAGTTGCACTTATTGCTAATAAGTAACCAGGACCATTAATGCTATACTTCCATAACAACATTATGAATCTTAGAAAAAGAGCTACTGGTTTGTTTGGACAACGTAGGAGGAACTGTTCTTTCTGGTCAACTGTCTGGCAAACTGTTACTGCCACTTCTGTTTGAACAAATGAAGCTCGGATTGGTTCTGACAGCCAAAGGTTGGTGCAGTTATCAACCACACTATATCTGCTATTTCCAATACCAACTAATTCTTTCACTCTCTTTATCTCTTAGCATCTCGTAGGTCTGATCCCGGAGTACTGTGCGAGCTTTGTGCCCTTAAACAGCACAAAAAAAGTAACTTGAACTATATAAATCTTTGTGGAAATGCCTGATGTGGCTCCGTTATAAACACACACACACTCGTTAAATATTTTACAATGCAAATTTAAAATATTAGGAGGTGCCTCTAGTACCACGTAGTCCTCAAAAAGTATACTTGGTCTCAAATCAAATTATTTTCATGTAGTACTGGTTTTCCAACTTCTGATGGTGGTGTGGTAGTGTCTGACATTAATACCATTGGTCCCAGTATGTATTTTATTATTTGTCTGTTCTGTAGTATAGGGGTTTGCATTTATTATGTGATATTATATATTTGTGTATTGCAGCCCACGTGTTTTATACATAACGTGAGTTGGTCATTAGATTTACACGGAAGAACAATATTTTAGACAATAAAAATTAGAATGATGTAAATCCCTTTACGAGCTAGTGAAGTATTATTATAATCAATTATACTTGTCATAAGGCATTATATTAACCCTTTTATAATTTTAAAGATATATTTTTAATCTATTCACTTAGGGATTTTCAAGAAAGAGCGTATAATAATAATATTATTATTATTTCAACAACGACAATGTAGAGTGGTTGACATTGAAATACTATAATTATTATAGTGTATAATAATCATACATTATTCTAAGTCTTTAAAATATCTAAATGACTAGATTAAGAACGTTGTGTTAAAAATATAATTGGCCTAGCATAATGTCTTATGATAAGTATAATTAATGAAAATTGTGACCAGAATAATGAGACATTTATATTGCGTAAAGACTGCAAGGATTAATTTGTTTATTTTTCTCAGAGCAAAGCTACACAATAAGTTATCTGCACTCTGTACATAACATGGAATCTAATTCTCGATTTTAGCGTTGTTAGTCCATAAATTACCACTGACCCACTGCTACTTTGCCGCTTAGACTACATCGTCAAAGAAACATTATTTTCTATGTTTCCTTGATGTTAGTAAAGACTATGCTTGGTTTACTTTTGAATTAAAATATTTGTAAGATTGCGAATTTTCACTGAATGAGAAGAAAGTTGGTTGATAATCTACATCATACAAAGTTAAGAACAAGATATGTGTTTTTATTGATTTTGTCTGATTAAAGTGAAATCATGATTACTGAGTTGCTTTAGAATGAAATAAAACATAATATTCATTAGTACTGATTTAGAATACGTTCGTTTATTATAACTTAATTATTTCTGAACTGTCCAAGTGTAGTTTGATCACACATTTTATGTAGGCTTCATGAATGTAACTTTGAATTTAAAAGCGAGTCAAAGTGTAATTATTAACAGCAAACATACGTATGAGTAAATGTAACTGTATATGAAGTTAAAGGTGATAAGACATGTTTTAAAATGAGATAATGATCTGTTGTAAATGAAAGTAATAAAGAACAGAACTGTAAAAATATGACATATATTTTTAAGGGCCACAGGTGGTGTTTTTTATGTTGAAAGCTTAAAAAATAGTGGTATGAGGAAGAGGAATTTTGTACTTAAAACGTGGAATAATTTAAAAGTTGAAACCAAATTTTGTTTCCTTCTTATAAGTGTATATTTACGAAACAGTCGATTCGCGATAAAAATCTACATTTTATATTATTTTGACCAACGTTTTTTGCGAAAGCATCTGCTCAGAAAGTATGTAAGATTTGTCAGATACACCATTCTTTCATAGGACGAATATCTTTTTAATTATACTGAGCACCACGTTTTGGACGCACATCCCATTCAAG